CCCTCCGCCCCCGCGGCCTCCCTCGGGTCCCCGGGCCGCAGCCGTCCGTCCCCGGTGTCGGTGCTGGAACCGGGGCACCCGTGTGGGCCGCAGCGGTGCCTTGTCGTGCCTCGGTGCACGTGGTTGTCACCCGCGGGGCGCTCGGCTGCAGCGGGGCCTCGGCTGGCCGTGTCACCCGTGGGCTTCGGCGGTGCCTCGCCACGCGTGGCCGTGCTTTGCGTGAGCCGCGGTGCCTTGGCGCGTGAGCGTCGTCCCGCTTCCCGCTTCTCTGGTGGCGGGCACGGCCCTTGCCACGCTGCCAGAATGGCACCCGGGACACAGCGAGGCGTGGGCGACAGCAGCAAGCCTCCACGTTAAAGGTTTCATAGGAATCCAGGGGTAAAACATCCCCCCCCCCTTACACACACAGAGCGATCCAGCTGCGGGTTTACACGCAAGCGTCTCTGTGTGCATTGCAGCGTGCAAGTGGATGCGCTGAGGCGCAGGAGGTATGTTTAGACTAAACTCTCTGAGGCAAGATCTTTATCTTTGCAATGTTTTGTAAAGAGACTAGCCTATTTTAGAGGCTAAACAAAAAATAAATATTGTGGTACTAGAGAGGTCATGCACGTGTTTGATTTATATCTTGCCGATTCAATATAGTGTGAATGGACTAGAAGGGGAAAAGGACTGCTAGGAAATAATACAAAAATCTGCTTAAGTGAGAGTCAGGTTTTCAGGTTTATCAAATAGTGACTTAAAAAGAAATGCTGGCCTCCAGAGTTTATACTGAGGAAGACCTGCCTTGCTGTGTCTTAGTCCGCTCAAGTTTTTTGGCAGGTGCTGAAGTGTTTTACTCCATTTGTAGATGTAAGGTAAAGAAACAAACAGGCCCCTCAGGTATTGGTTAAATTCAGTACCTCTGGTGGGGAGAAGACCTGAGATCAAATTTGTAGGAAGTGTTACGTTTAATATAGTGGTGTTAAAGGCTTTTAAACTACTCTTAATTTAGCATTTGACCCAAGAGACGCTTGCAGGATGGAGACAGCAGTTATAATGCATTCATATGGTTTCAGCTTGAGAGGGAGTGAAGAGCTCTGGCTTTTCTCTGGCAGCCTTGTATGTGAAAAGTGTTAACAATTAACATGAAACGTAGGTGCAGTATTAGGTATTCGTGGGTTTAGATAGATGGAAATGGAGGCCTACCCAAAAATAAGTCCTGATGAACTCTTCACGTGCTGAGGATTGCTGACGGATGAGCAGAAACTCAAAAACGGAGAAACACAGAGCAGTAATGGTTTCGGAGCATTTCAGGTGCTCCTTACTTGCATAGGTTTTGTGTTCATAAAAGCAGTAGCTTTTTTCTGTTTTCTTTGCAGAAGTTTTTGTAACGTTTTCACCTCCTGATTTGATTTGCTGGTGGCTAAAATAGTATTAGATTTTCTTCTTCTTTGAAGAAAAGTAAGACCAAGGAGGTGTTTGAACACTGTACTGAAGATCATGAAGAGCCTGAACTGACCAGAACTTCTGTCAAAATAAGACAGGGATGTGATTATATGTTACTACAGCAGCATGATACCTTTGTAGGCGATATTTTTTGTAACTTGTAGTGGCTTCTTCAAATATATATTTTCTTTCTCATCTGCAGTCATGATAACTGCAAGTGATGTGATGCGCTTGTATTACTATAACCAGTTAAAGGCATATCTACTCTTTAATCCATTGAGCTTTTATGAAGACTTTCATTTAAAAAGTGGATTTTTATGCTTGTGGACATTGGCACTACCAGCAAATGCAATTGGCTTCTGGTGTTATTTGTCAGCAAAACGTTTCCATTTTAAAGTTGGAATGAATGGATTTTAGTAGAAGACTGAGAACAGTCACGCTCTTTTGTCGGTAACTTCATCCAAAAAAAACCCCAAAAATGTTTCGCCCACTTAGGCTGTCTTAACATTTATTTTTCAAAAATATTTACTCATCTGCTAGGATATTACAGCTATCTTTGAGGATGCAGACTCCTCTACATTAGAGAACTCCTAGATCACTGTGATTGTATTTGCTAATTTGGTACAGTCCAGTTAAATTGATGCAACTACTTTGTCCATAAAAGGCCTGTGCTAATAGGCTTAATTTTTATTTCATTTCTCATTTGTTAAATCTTGGCAATACTATCACTGCGAACTTCATAGCAGAACATAATCCTCCTGAAAAATAGGAGCAGTGCTTGCTTTTGTGCAATTTATGTTCTGAGTTTGATGCTCCCTCTCCTCTCGGATCATGCTTTAAGCTTAGAGTCATTGCTGCTGCATTCCTAATCACACATTGAGTTTTATTACAGTAGTGTCCGAAGTGGCCATTATAGTTAATTGTACTTTTTCTGTCTTAAAGGATGATTGCATCTATCCACCAAAATGCCTGTGGGCTGGAATTATGTGTAGTAATTTTCTGTGTAGAAGTAACAAACCCTTGGAAATCCCATATACAACAACCCTTGAATTATATGCAGAAGCAATCCACGCCTCTGGATTTGGAACAACTGTTTCAAATCTAGCAATAATGATTTCCTTCTAGAAATGGTTCTTTAAACACATTTGGTGGGGAACTGCAGAAACCTTGTCATTATGCAGGAAGCAGCCTATGTGTTAAAATACCTAACTCTCAAGCAGCACGCGGGGAGAGGTTCCTTGTGAATGGAAAATAACACACGGCATTGCATCTGCCTGCTGGAGGGAATACACAAGGTTTATGCAAAGAAAGTACTTTCCTCGTCATACACTGACTGGTGTGTTGGTGTTCTGTAGCGTTTCTTAAGCGGGAGGTTTGACCAACCTGCTGGATTTCCAGTTTGTCCAATACATTCATGTCATTCATTGGAAGTTGTTTAGCATACACAGAAATAGTGTTGGTTAATACGATATCACTCATCTACCCCTTTCATATAGTTTGTGAGTTAGTATTTCAAAAATACTAATGCTAATTTAAAATTCATCAGCATTTAAAAAAAAAAAAAACATCCAGGCTACAGTGCTACTGTAAACTTGCACAGGCTAGGCTGTGCACTCCCGCAACCTTCACATCCTTTAGAAAGGAAAAGCTCCTTTTTAAGCAGAAGCAAATGCTAAGCAGCACACATCCCAGCTGGTGCTCTTTAACCCAAGCATTTAGCTAGAGAGGGGTTTGCATTGTTGTGATGGGCTATTTGCATTAGGTTCATAGTGCTTCTATTCATTGTGTGGAGGAGGATCAAGACAGGTGGAAAAAGGAGGAGGAGTGGTGAAAGTTGAATGAGATAGATACCCAGAAGCCAAACTTTTTTTTTTTATTTCGCATTTTATTTGATGAAATAGACTGTTGTATCTTTTGTGCTCCTGTGAATGCATGCCCATCTGCTCTAGCATGCTTGTAGTTACTCCTGGTGCCTGTTCAGCTGTTGGCATGTTCAGCACAACTGAAATTCTCCATCAGCTGCCCCATCCTCCTCCAAAGACAAATAAAAGGTCAAGCTAAATTTCAAAAGCAGCTAGGCATGCAACTGTCAATCAGATCTTGAACTTGATGAAGCTTTCATGCTCTTTGCTATAAAAGCAAGTTTAATTTTAGTGCTTTTTAAGTTTTATTGATACTTGGGAATTGTGGTGTACCTTCAAATTCTGCCCACAGCTGTTTTCATTTAGCTTAGCTTCAAAAGTAACTGTCCAAGGAGTCCCTTGGAGCGATTCTTCCTTAAAGTGATTGCTGCAGCGGAGCATGGCTCAAAAAGATAAGTTCCTAGCAAAACGAGAAGGAAAAATCTATAAATGAGTTGAAAGCTTTTATTCAAGTTATATAAGCATATTTATAGAAAGACTTGAACTCTTGTGGTTATTGCTATGAAACATTTATAAAGGAAACTTACAGTGATGTTCAAACTCAGCTATTTACCACTCTGGTTAAAACTCAGCTATTTTTTGAGGTATATCTAATGTTCAGGATGTGTTGGGATTCTTCTTATGTAGGTGTATTCAAAATACTGATGCAGCGAAGACAAACAGGGAGGTTTTAGTTATTTTAAAAGTCAGTAGAATGTATTACACTTGAGGGTAGAAATGAATAGCAAATGAGAATCGAACGAGGGCTTGATTTCTATGCCATTGGAATCTATCGGAGTTCTGTTGTTGATTTCCGTGGGAAGCAGGGTAATCCATCAGCTGGGATCCGTGATCACTTTTGCTGAAAATTGAAAGATATCCTTGTTTTCAGACTGGGAACCTGCAATTAGAGTTGGTGTGCTGGATTGTGGGGAAGAAGAGAACTATGAGACGTGTAAAGAATATGGTATTCACTATTACCCAACTTTTAGGGTAAGTGGCATAATATATTGCCTTAGGTAAATGATGCGTGCTTTATAGTAACTAAAACCATAACAAACATGCTTGTGCAGAGTACTGCTTGTTCTTTAGCTGGACTTTTACTTTGCTTTTGCTGAGAAAACTGCAGGGTTGATAAAAGATTGAGTTCTTGCTGAATGCAGTAGCTGATGCAGGTATTTATAGTAGTAATTCAGTCCTCAGTTCTGAATCTGAAAAATGCTTATAGAAAGAAGATACCTCCTGTCATAACAAACACAGTGTATTCAGTCCTCTCCATCCATCCCATTCTGCTCATACTTACGGTTAATAATGTGATTATACAGATTGACAAAGACAGAGAAGTTAAAAATTGCACTTAGACCTGAAAATGAATAGTGGTAGATACTTTTGGCAAACATTAGATCCCTTTTAAAAGCCAGTTTAAGCAAATTATGAAATTAATTAGAAAAATAGTGAAGAATCAATCAAGGGTAAATTTTTAATTGCTCATGAAATCAGCTGATTTCATGATGGAATTTCAATGTATTACCTTTACTTTCAGATACCAACACTAAAAACACTATTAATAATCATGAACATTTGAATTCGAAAAAATTTTATACAAATTGTTATCTAACGAATACATTAAAACTAGGTGTTATATAAATGTAACAACATAATACTTTCTAGAATGGTATCTTCTTTCTATAAGCATTTTTCAGATTCAGAACTGAGGACTGAATTACTACTATAAATACCTGCATCAGCTACTGCATTCAGCAAGAACTCAATCTTTTATCAACCCTGCAGTTTTCTCAGCAAAAGCAAAGTAAAAGTCCAGCTAAAGAACAAGCAGTACTCTGCACAACAGGAGACATTTCACTGTAGAATTCGTGATGTTCTACCCTGATAGAAACAACAGTATTTTTTTTTAATCTTTAAAGTTTGGGGTGAATTAGAAGGCACACTTTATTAGACACTGAATCTTTTCTGTTTTATTTTTTATAGCAGAAGGCAGTCAGGCTCCATTATATATCCTGTTTAACCACTGGAGGGAGTTGAGAAAATGTGAATAGTGTTCCAAGTATATACACAGTTGGTAGTACTGATTTGGTAATCAGTTAATTTGTGTTTGGGTTAATGTTTGCAGTAACGGATCGATATACAGTATTGAATTATGCGTTATGGTATTTTTCCGTCTAAAAGTTGCTTTGTTTAATTTTAGTGTTTCAACTGGTACACATGAGCTACCCTCATATAGTTGGGAAGCAGGTCTTTGGAACTCATAGGCTAAGAGGGAAAACTGTCTTCTGAACAGATAGATAAAAATGTTTTGTAATTAGAGCTGTAAAAAGTAAAAACTCTTCAAAGCCATTTTTGTTTCTAAACTGAGCTTTCGTCTCATACAGCGAGTTATTTTTGAAGCAATAATGCTTTTTTTTGTCTCCCACATAGTACTTCAAAGCATTTACAAAACAGTTTACTACTGGAGAAAATTACAAAGGTAAGAATATCCTACTGTAAGAAATCCCCAAAGCAGTTATCCTATCAGCCAGGAATGTGTCACACAATAAGCAAAATCCCTTTGGCTGTCAATTAGTTGAGACAGCTAGAAATGGGATGGACGCTAAATAGCTTTTTAAGATATGATATTACAAGTACTGTATGAAAATGGAATGTCAGGCAGAATTTTAGACAGGCAAAACATTTGTTCAAGAACTTAGGGCTCACATTCTTCATTTTTTTTGAAATGTAGTTCTTAATTTTCACAAATGGCTAGATAATTTTTTAAAATTCCTTTTTTCCACCACACACCTCATCAGCATGTGATCCAGTTTGCTCAGTCCTGACTCGTGCTTTTTGATCTGTCAGCCACTTTCCAGGCACCCTGACTCTCACTGGGAGAACCCTTATTCAGATGTTGACTAACTGAAAACAGGCTTATTCTGTGTGTCTGACAGGATCACAGCTTGAGGTGGTTGTCTGGGGACAAAAGTAATGTTGTCTTTTTCAATGGATTAACATTTAAAAGGCCAGAGGTCAGAAGAGAGACCACCTGCACCATTAACCCTTCATGTAGAAGTAGACCGTAGTTGTACCTGTTACTTTTTGGCATTTGTGAGAGTTTCTGCTTTTTAATTTATTTTTTTTTAAAGCAAATAAAATATTCTCACACTTCAGTTATTTCCTCATATTGTTATGTGGCTTTGTAACCTCACCTGGCCTGTTTGGTAAGAATGGTACATCTTTGCAGTTTTTAATGCATGATGAATATCCTTATTGCAAAAAAGTTAACTGAAGTTACCCGTGGCAACTATTGTGAAAATGAGCACAGATTTAGAATGAAGCATTGTTTGAAGAGAAAATCAGCAAGACAGGCAGATGGTTAGATTTGGAAAAGTCTTGAGGCTTTGTTAATTTTGGGGTGGGATGACAGCTTTTAAATACGATCTCATCTCAACGTTGAAGTGAAATCCTACAAGTAAATCCTTAGTCCCTGTTCTTCAGTCAGATAGTGTTCCGTTCAAATTTAAATCAAAAACCTGACACAGAAAAGCATGAGAATGTATGAAAACCTGCATGTGAGTCATTTTTTTCACAGTTTTCTGAAGCGGTGTATTTTTTTTGTAACCTATACTCAGCAGGAGCAGATCGAGAGCTGCAAACAGTTCGTCAGATGATGATTGACTTCTTACAGAACCATTCCCAAGAGCTGAGACCGCCTGCTTGCCCACCATTGGACCCAGTTTCGTACGTTTCTTGTTTAAAATACAGCTGGCTTATGCTTACTGTGTTAATTAAATGAAATGTAAAAGGTCCTATTAAAGACGAAGTAAGCTTTTTTCTTATTATCAGTTCTGCTATGAGATTGTAAAAGGGTGGGTAACAGTAACATCAGTAACAGTGGGTGTATTGCATTCTACCTGTGCTAAATAGCTTTTCTTTTCTTAAAAGGTCCAGTGATATTACTTCTCTTTTTGACAAGAACAGCCGTCATTATACTGCCATTGTGTTTGAAAGTAATAACTCCTATGTTGGTCGAGAGGTAATGTATGGCTTATGAATGACAAAATGAATATGAATGAATGAAATCATAACACAGCTGCATTTTATGTTATTTAGCCAAGCAACAAAATTTCTGATTATAGGACTGAATTAAAGGGTCATAAAGGGCAGGTTATGCATATTTGAGGTATCACAAAGTCAAGGGATTATATAGGGCTCTTGTATTTAGTCACACAGAGGAACTTACTTACAAATGAATATGATGTCATGTTAACTTATTCCATTCATCTTTTAGTGGAAGATTAATTTATCGATTTCATTGTTACCACAATTCTTTTTTCTTTCAAGATTTGGAAGATCACAACAAAAATATTGTCCTATTATGTTATTGTTTTGTTACTGCTAGAGATCCATTCATAATATTCATTCTTCTGGGCAGCTTTTGTGATTTCAACTGTTCATAATAATCTAGATTCTCTGGTTCTCTTTCTTCACGTATTGGTTTTAGGAAATTACATTCTAAATTAAGATGATAGCATAAAATTATTTTCACAGCTCTGAAGCACTGAGGAAGTGGAAGTCTTTGATTTTTTGCTTCCCCCACCCTCCCAATAAAATATTTGATTTGGCATCATTTCACCACCTAATGAGCCTGCTGTTAGCTTAGACAACTGTTACTTTTCTCTTCCTGCCAAGATCTAGGATAAGTAAAGAAAATAAATTGCATAATTATCTAGGCATAATCTGTATAGAAACATCCAATGTCTGTGAAATGTTTCTAATTAGATTTGGTGCTGAGATGGCCCAGTTGCATAAGTGGAGGAGAGTGTGCTGCCAAACATGAGAATCACTTTGAGAAGCAGGCTGCTCCCAGACATTTTTCTGGAAGCTGCTTTGTTGATACAAGTAGGCATTACTGAAGGAAGAAGTGTGATGATTAAAAAGTTCTTCAGCTTTTTATCACACTCGCTTTAATTTTATTACCTGCTGTTATAACAGAAAGTGGAGTCTGCTTTCAGAGGAAAAAATATTTGCTAATGTTATGTAGTATTTTAGCTTTATAGAATAGATTAGTAAAATACAAAATAACATTGTTTTCAAGTTTACAGTGTAAGACAGTATGGACAAACCTAATAGAAGTCACAACAGCTGAAGAAGGGAAGGCCATGTGTTTATCACTGATGAAAGGAAGGAAGGGTCTCTTAAATTACAAGTTTGAAAGCGAGGGAAGACATAGCAAAGATAATATTCACCTGAAAGGGAAAAGCATAGCGGAAACTGTGAAACTAACAGGAAAAAGATACAGAAGAGGCAGAGAGGGGTAGAAGAATGACAAGCAGAAATGTAAGAAGAGTCAGAAACATGGAAGGCTTTGTAGGCGGGAATGGAACATTTGAAATGGTAGTATGAGAGCGTAGGGTAGTGGAAGGATGTGAGGAGTGTGGCCATTAGAATGGCAAAAGAGTACTTTAGTACTGGGATCTTGAAGGATTTAAGACTGGAAGAAATTAGTATTTTAAGCCTCTTTTTTTTTTATTAAAAGGGCAAATTTTTATTACTATAACCAAGTCGTCGTATTTGTAGGCTGTAGTTGGCAAAGAACTTCGACAGTTGAGTCCTGGCAAATCTTTGAGGCATCCTGATGTTACCACTTTCTTCTGTCTCCTCCACCCTTCACTGAATTTTACACCTTCAAAGAAATTTGTGCCCGCTCCCGGCTGCTCTAGTGCAAAAGCCCAACACCAGTTTAAACAGCTGACGAAGACTGGTTTGAGCTAAGATGCTGGACTGTGAACTGGAACTTTTGAGATAGAGGCACCTGTTCTGTATGGAGTCTCTGCTGTAGGGCTGGTAAACAAAAAGAGCTGAACAGACAGCTGGGTGCTGTGGCACCACAGACTGCACAGCTTGATTTGGCAGGGCTTGACATGCAAAGCCTTAACTCCTGTGGAGCCCTTAATTGTTTTCTAAGTCATGGACTTTGACATCAGAATGCTGTAAAGTGGTGGGACCAAATAAATGTTTCTTCACTACCTGAAAATTTGCCGTTAGAGTCCTACATATATAACATGAAACATAAACCTGTTGGCGCCTGTGGAATATCCTTTGGGCTTTTTTGAGGTTTATGAGGACATTTTATCATTCATTCTCATGTTTTCTTCAGATGTTGGACTTCAAAGGGAAAAGATCGGGATAGACCAAGAAAAAAACATGGAAGATAGGAGTAAATAATGTCCAGAGAAGAGTAAATCTTCTTTAACTGAAATTGTTAGTGCTCACAGAATGCTCGTAGATGTACTTCCTTGGTGAACAGCTTAATGTTACCCTTAAAGGATGATGCACTTCGCCTATTTATATGTCTTGTCCTACAAGATTGGATATTCCTTGAACAATGTATAATTCATGTCATCTTTCCATTATCCAGGTTATCTTAGACTTGATCCAGTATGAAAACATCGTTGTAAAGAGAGCGTTGAATTTTGATAAGCCTTTTCTTGAGAACCTTGGTATTACCTCAGTCCCTTCGTGCTATCTGATACATCCAAATGGGTCCCATGGATTAATTAACATGTAAGTAGTTATCTGTCTGAGGAATATGGGGAGGTTCACTTAAGCTATAAAAACAACTTCCATAGCTTGCTTTCATACAAAGTTATTCTATAACCTTCTTTTGCATGTATATAATGACATTGTGTCCTGGCATGTAATCAATACATTGTACTGACTGAAGTTGTGTGTTCTGTTTCTTTGTGTTTGAAAATTGTCTGTCTTGAGTCCTCTCTAGCAATTACTAACTCATCTAGTGATCTTGTTTACTCTTTGTGAGTGCTCGTAATAAACAGGCATGGGTTATGCCAGTGGAAGTTACATTTTATCATATAGTAGGGAAGATTAGCCAGAATGGTGTGGTGGCTAATTATAACCCTTGTGGTCTTATACCAAGTTTATACTGCTGGCAAAACGCACTTGTTAAGTAGATGTTTTGAAGTAGTGTTTCTAACTGGAAATAAAAGCTCTAAGCCAGTGTTTGTTATATGGAGTTGGATATCCTGACAGCAGTGGGCTGGTTGTTCTTAATGAACCATTTAATATTGTTACGTCTATTTTTTTAATACGAGACCTAATATTACTTTTGCTTACCACTGTTGCCTACTTATAGCTTTAACCTATTACTGTGATACTCCTGAAAGGAAAACACTTCGGAATAAAAGCGGAAAAAAAAATTATTAATGTTCTTAAAAACACTCGCTTCTAAGTCAAAATACTTGTTCCATGTGAACACTGCCTCTGTAAGGCAACCTGACGTTTTGATGAATGTGATGTGGTCTTATTTTGAATGGAATTTCAAACCACTAATCCAAATGATGGTTACTACTATTCCTAAATTGAATGTTATTTCGTTGTACTTTGTATCAAAACATAACATGTTGCGCTAGGACTGTAAAACATAAAACAAAGGGAATATCCTATTTTATAAATATCCTAATTTGCTTAGTCTGAGATTAAAAGTAGTCTTTACTTTTTCCATTTATATGCAGTTTGAAGCCTCTACGGTCTTTCTTTTCTTCGTATTTAAAGTCACTGCCAGGTGTACGAAAAAAACTTCTTTTGCCGCTTCAGCTACCTGTTCAGGAAAACAAAGAGGAGAGTACAGAAATCAAGGTGTGGAAAGAGTTTGATAAGTAAGTGATAGCCTCGATTTTCAGATCAATGCTTCGTTATGAAAATTTGCTGGCAGTTTTTTCTTGCCGTGTGGGAAGCTGTGCTGTAATTTGTTATGAAATCCTAGTGCAGTTCAAACTTTTACTTCGTTCCATCCCAGGTGATGCACCTTGAGTTGAATAGGTTGGTCACTACTGAATGATCTGCATTCTTCTGCCGAGTAAAATTAAAGGCGTTCGTGCTTAATACTGGAGAAATTATGGCATCGAAGCTGAAAGCAATGCTTTCAGCTGTTGCTTCAACCTCATCTATTTCTCAGTATATTCAGGTAACACTTGTGAATTAGTTTAATTCCAGCCTGAAGGTTACAACTTCTTTACGATTGTGAGCAGTGTTTCAAACAATTCAGAGTTCAAATTATTGAGAGCTGTCAGTATTTGGTTTTTAGCAGCAAGCCTCTGTACTGCTATGGAAGGAATGTTTTTCTTCAAAAGTATTGCTAAGTGCTTAATTGACTTAAAAATACCAAGGACTCATCACGCATTACCTGGTGTAAATAGATCACTGGTTTGAATTGTTGGAAAACTTCAAGTAATTGGTGTCCCTGAAAAAATAAATAGTAAAATAACAAGCTATAACATTTCTGTGGAAAACAAGAGTTCTCTGTGTGTATAATAGTGAAGCAGTGCCCACTAAAAAGTGCTTGTCAAATGCAAGTATAATAGAAAACACTAAAGTCACTGTAAAAGACATTTATCATACAAAATCCGGTAAGGTTTATCTTCACCCTCTTCCCCTCTTTGTCTGTTTGAGAGAAGGATGCCAAGGCTTTGCAGAGAGATAATCCCTCAGCATCTTTAGATGGAAAAAGATGTAGGACTGAGTGCTTTCATTTTGTACTTATTTTCCTTTCATGGACACTATTAGTGTCATCTTCTTTCAATGACTATAATAAGATATTTTATATGAAATGTTCTGTTATCAAAACAACTCAGTTAAATTGAGCTGCTTTCCAGCAAGACAAAATCTTGTTGATGTGAATCTCAAGTCCAAGTATATTCTAAATAGGATTCTTTGGGGGGAACCTCATGCATTCACATGGATCTCTCTTTATTTAAGAAACTTGAAGCAGAATTTTGCTGTTCTTTTAAATGTGAGTACGTTATTAATTAAGGAGATAACTTCAGAGTAAGTCTGTAGTCTTGAGTTGTTAAGAATATAGATTATTCTGTATTTCAATATGTTATTTCCTGCATGTTATTTAAGAGGTGGGTCCAGCCAGTTTCTTGGATGATTGTTCTTTTAATTTGGTTTGGTTTTAGAAATAATAGTGCTGCTGAACTGTTACAAGAAGTGTTTAACTCTATTAACTATGAGAACTTCTGTTTGTTTCGTTACATTGCTCTGTATCATACTGTCTAGAGTTTGTACTGAAAGCACGGAAAGTCAGGGTGTTTTACTTGATGTATTTGTACTTTGTAAAGTGTTCTTGTTGTTACGAAGATGTTTGGTTGTGAGAAGGAACTCTTACAATCTTTGATTTGCTTTACGCGTTTTACTTGTACCTGTCATAAGGTACCTAATTCTGTCTTAAGAGCTGGTGATTAAAATTGACCCTTAAACTTGGATGCAAAGTTCCTACAGTAAAACTACTGCATTTGGGAGAGGATTTCTAGATTCGGTCCTTTCCGACATTGACCTTTTTTTGTCTTGTTTGCACTCCTGCTCTGTGTATAATCTACTTTTCAACAAAAGTCTCCCTTTTGTCCTAGCATGTCATTTTTCCATTTGTGGTCAATCCTGAAGAGAAGCTATAATTTCTTTACACTAGCTGTTTCCTTGCCAACAATGTCAGGGTTATAATTTCGTTACAAAGTAAAGCTGGCTGGGAGGCAAAAAGTTTAGTCAAATATAAAAGAAATTCTTGTGTGCGGTTATGCTTCATTTGTCTAAACTCTGAACAAAATGACATAAAATTACTCTTTTAAGAGAGTACAGTGGAACTCATTGAACTTGACATTCACCATACCGAGCACCTGAAGTAACTGCTGTGTCTTCCATACTGGTGTAGGATATGCCGCAATCACTGTGGAGTGGCAAATGTTGAGGTTTTAATGACACCTACTATATATCAATTTTACCTTCATGACTGGTGAGAAAATGAGCGAAAGAAACCTGCCACTTTATAACATTATATATGTGTGTTTCAGATCTAAGCTGTACATGGCTGACCTTGAATCAGGATTGCATTACCTGCTCAGGGTAGAGCTTGCTACGCACAAGACACTTGAGGGAGCTGAGCTAAAGACCTTCAAGGATTTTGTTACCATCTCTGCCAAGGTATACACTTCTAGTCTTTGATTATTTGTAAGAATGAAGTGACTCTAACATAAAATTTATTATGTGACATAAGTCTCTCAAAATGTCTTTCAGAATGTTTAAATATATGCTTCCTCACTAGCTTAAAAAATAGTTTTGTGGGTTTCTTTAAATGTTATTTTTGAGTTATTGTATGTCGTTCTGACATACTTTTGGGTTGAAATGCATTTTAATTTAATCTTAGAGGGCTCGAAATTAAATAAAGCTTTAGTAGTCTGCAGCATATTGAACAAACACTGTAAATATAGTCCATTTATCAGATTTTCAAGATAAGTAGCTGTTGTAACTGAGTGGGATTAAAAAACCCTTTGTTTTTCATTCCTGACTTTTGGATTTCGTTAGTGCATACTCGACAAATGGTCTTCTATTTAGAGATATTAGTAACTTCTGCCTAAATTTTGAATATTAGTGAGGTATTGAATTGAATTGAATTAAGTATTTCAAAATAATTGAGGTATTGAATATAATTGAGTATTTAAAAAATAAAGATGCTTACATTTTACATTTGAGTAAATATACAAGATACGTAATGTGATATGACTTGAAAAAAAAAGAAATAATTTAACTTTATAATGTCAGCCTACTGAAATGACCAATGTCTCCTTATATTTACTTACTGAGCAGATAACACTTTGTTTTATTTTAAAGAAAGTGAATCAATATCTACTTAAGGGAATAACAAGGCCTATATGAACTATTTCCAAATATCTGCATTTATCTGAAAATCAGACAGACAGTTTTGTGCTCCCCCCCCCAGCCATCAGAGGTCAGAAATCTCTAGCTGGCCTCATTTCTTTAAGAAAGTGTAGTGGTAATCTTTCCATCATATTATCCCTAAACCATCCTCTGTTCTTCCTGATGGCTCCTGGCCAGCTGATGTCATTTGCTTCCCCGGCTATTAGTGCCTAAATGGGGAATGCTCTCTTTTAGTTGCCTGCTCATCTCCAGCCTGCCAGTGTACAAGTGGGGACTGCTGTCCTTTATTTGCCTTCTCTTGTCATGTAGCCCTTTCCTCATAGTTCTCAGTCGTGATTCTTGGGTGTTTCCGTTAGGAAACTTTTTATACTATCCTCCTGTGTAACAGCATTTATAGCGATGATAAATCCTGAGTCACGGAGGTCTCTGGTTCCCTACTTGGGGAATTTTCATTGTAATAGAATTAGGGATTTTGGCAGTCAGTGCAGAAGTCTGTTGTTTTTTGAATCGTTGATGAGACTGATGCCTGCCTGAGACACTGTGCAACTGTTGTCTTTCAGATAGTAATGGATGATATTCTGGGGCTCCTACAGGAGTAAAAGTAATTATAGTATGCCGTCAGTAGTTCAGAGGCGCGCTGTTTTTTTACAGCCTGTTCAAGAGTTGTCTTTGAACCCAAACAATGCATGGAGTCCCTTGTGTTAGATGCAATACAGACAATTAGCAAAAGGGAGTTCCTGCCCATAAGATTTGCATGCTATCAACGAAGTGGTCTGTGAATTGGAGATATTATTGATAGTTGGACAATGGCTGCAGAATGACTAGCATATGTATAGCTTGTTTTGTCATAAATAGCTTTATGTATTTAAAGGAGCAGATACAGGGACTTTATTTCCCATCTGTTGAAATACTGCTCCCTCTGGAAGGGTACTTAGAGGATGGTATGCATACTCTACTTAATTCTATAGTAATTACAACTATCACTGAAGCAAAATACCATTTCTAGTGTAAAATAACGGCATTACCTCTGATTGTTCCTCACGCACATCTGCCAGACTGACTTCTTTTAGTTGCAAGTTAAGGAAGTCACTGTTTCTAAATCACTTTGGAAATCACTATTACACATATGAAAAGGAAAATGCTCTTCTAGATAACCAACATCATCTACGTTTACAGAAATCTGAACAAATATTTTATAAGAACTAATTTTTGTGATTAATCTTCCAAGAGTGAGAAGGGATTTCAGCCTCTCTGATTCACTTAGGTCTTATGCTTCTTTTTGAGCTATACACTGAGCTGAATTACCTTAATGCAAAATTGTACATAATCTATCAAAAGTTGTTCTGTAGCATTTCTGCGTGCTGTTGAGTAGCTTCATTTTACTGGTTAACATTTTGTGCGTGCAACTTGTTAAATTTTGTAAGCAAAAGTTAGTGTGAGGTGGCTTTTTATTGAAAGCGGAACAAATAATTGATTTCCTCATAACAAAAGAAAATCTGAAGCATTTTAAAGACAGGAACAACACATTTAGATAAAGATAAGTGTCTTGCTGCTAATGAGATTTGCGCTTTAAAATATGGGTATTTTCTTTTTTTTTTTTTTTTTTTTTTCCCCCCTCAGCTTTTTCCTGGCCGTCAGCCTGTGGTGAAGTTGTTAGAGACGTTGCAAGAGTGGCTGGTGAGCCTTCCATTAGACAAAATCCCTTATGATGCTATCCTAGATCTGGTCAACAACAAAATGCGGGTAAGCTGTTACTAGTTTCCAGCATAAAATACGGCATTAGTAAAGGATAAGATTCTGTATAAATCTAAGACATCACTTACTGATGGTCCCTCAGTCATAATGGAGTTGTAAGAAGGTTAAAATGAAAATAAAGTGAAATCATTACGAGAAAAAAATCCACATGAAGGAACTGAAAATCCTGTCTCAGTTTTATAATGAGCAAGCAATCGCTAACATATATATATTCCCTAACGTCAGCTTCAAATGATGCAAGATTCCCCGCAGATATTTTTGAGTTGCCTTTTCTTGCCGTGCCTGCTATCAGCAGGATTCTCTGGAAGGCCGGACTTTAAGTGATGGGAAATTTACCCACTGAAACGGGCATTATTCCTGAAGAGTTTCCCCAAATACTCTTTAATTTCCTGGCACAGTAAAGGCCTTGCTAGGAATCCCATCTCACTTTGGTAACGCAGAGCCCTGTGATAGGGCCATCTTTGTACGGAAGTTAATACGAGTCTTTCTTCCCGTGAAATGGGATTGCTATCTGAAATTTGGAAACCTCCTGTGTGTTTTAGGAAGCAGAGAGATAAGGGTCAGAAACTGAAATCTTACGCTGGATTTTAGGTGTAATGAATAAGTAGTGGTTTTGTTTTAAGAAGAAATAATAATGAATTCTACATCTTAGCCTGTTAAGACTTTGCCACTGTAAGTCATGTAGATCTTGCTGAGTAATAGGGAATTTTTAATGTGCCCAGGGAAACTGTAGCTCTCAGAGTTTACATTAGTATTTGTGTGTGTGCCTGTTGTGCTCATACTGTGCTTAAAAAAAAAACTTTACAAGTTAAGCTACTTAATGTGTTCTGTCAGACTAATTAGATGTGTTTGATGTGTATTTGACATCAGTGACCATGCGTTGTGTATCATGTAATATGTTTGCAAGAGGGATGAGTTTTATAACGGTGCATCAGAGTATCTCAGATTTAATGATTGTTGTAAGTTTAGAATTTGTTTGCCTTAAGCATGAATTCATTAGCAACAAGTGCAGAGAGAGTCAGTTACTGTTCATCCTTGGATCACCTCAATTTCAAGGTAGGATCGACTGTGACTGCTGTTCTGTTCAGTAGTGAATTTAGGTCCCAGAGCTCTGTATATCTTAAATACTTTAATACTTTTTTTTTTTTTTCCCCCAGATTTCTGGGATATTTCTCACTAAGAAGGTTCAGTGGGTCGGATGTCAGGGCAGCAGACCAGAGCTGAGAGGCTATACCTGTTCCCTTTGGAAGCTGTTTCATACCCTAACTGTTCAAGCTGCTCTGCGACCAAAAGCTTTGATAAATACAGGTAAGCAGCAGTTATAGGAGACACTTGAAGGACGAGACAAATATGTGCAGCAGTTCTGCTATGCAATAGGAAAAGGAACAGATTAGAGAGATTTATTTTGTAAATACTCAACTAAAACATTGGTGGAGGACGGTGGCTTTCAAGGCTCAGCTTTCAGGTTTGTGCCAGCAGGGGTCAGAGCATAGCTTTACTGCAGTGAGAAGGCTTTGAAAGAAAGCGTGTCAATTCTTGCTTAGAAATGTGGTAAATAAAGTATGTGGCCCTAAAGATGTGAGCAGTAAAGCAGAAAAAGGAGACAATTTCAAACAAAGAAATTTTGAAGTACCTGAAAAGGGATGAAGATTGTTCAGGTTACCTGAGGTTGCACTGTTAATTTAATTTGAAGAGAATGAGATTTAACTGTACAGTTAGTAGCTATAAAAGCTGTACAACCATTAGCCAGTCTTGTAATTTTATTTCCTAAATACCCAATGTTATGACTGGGTTTTTTTTTCAGCTGAACCTACCTAATGTCCATTAATCTGTGCAGTGATATACTACTTCGCAAGCACGCTGTAAAATTGCTTATTTTTAGACTTTCAGCGTCTTCTGAAGCAGAGTGTTAATATTCTGGTGATGATTCCTATTTAAGAAACATGCTGGATATATAATCTATTTTCTTCGCACAATAGAAATAGAATTACTAATGCTAAAATATTGGCCTTCATATGTTTTTATTCTTGCCAGGACAGTGCTTTGTTTGGTTATAGCTCTATTTAGTTTTCATTTAAACCTTTTTAATGTCCCTTCCAAGGCATATAAGAATGCTAGATGGAATGTTACTAGATCATAAAACTCAGAAATTGGCAATTTGTCAGTTGCTGATTGTATGTTAAAAAAAAAAAAAAAATTTGGTTATTTCAAATTATGGATAGCTACATTTGTCCAGCATTACTTGCAATCACGGTGAAAATCTCTCAATTCTTACTATTGAATCTCCTGCAGAATAGGGATTTTTTTGGATAGCTCATCATGCTGTTGTTGATTTCTGTTTCTTTGTTTTGTCTTGTTTTGTTTGTTATTTATGGAACAGTAGGTTGAATCCCTTTAATTTAGTACTGTGCTCTGCCTGGTGAGTTTGCGTTTTTTTGTACTGGATGATATATTAGCTGTTCGACAGGATCAGTTAAATTTCCCCTTTTGTCCCAATTGCCAGAAGTGTTCTAATTCAAAGTAAAAATGTTCTTAATATTTAACGATACAAAATTGCATCTTAAATTGCTCCCATGTTTCAGGCATAAGCTCTAGTCAGTCTGAAGTTAAAAATACATTGTAGAACCTGAAAACTCTTTGGCACACTTAACCATCAATTTAAATCGGGACAGATATGTGATGATCACTTCTTATGGTGAAAGAATTGGGTCAGTCTGAGACTGTCGGATTATGTCTTGGGAGGTTTTCCTCTCCTTATTGCTTGCTTAAATCCCATCTACTAAAAAGCATGATGTACTCCCTAATCCTTCCCACCACAGGTAGGGTTTTATGGTTCTTGTCCACTTTAAAGATTAGGGTTACCCTGAATTGCAGTAGTTTGGGAGGAAAGAGAAAAGGAGGATTACACGATGATACATGGCAGATGTTAATAGAAGATTCATCTCTGGGCTGATAAAAGAAAAACAAACAAAATGAGCCATTTTGCAATTGTTTGTTTTCTTTTTAAAGCAGCTGTATTTTTCTTGATAGTTTCCTCTACTTGCAGAGTCTGGCAGTCAGTGTGAACTCGCTATGGCTTTCTTGATGTAACGTTTTTATTGGTTTATATTTGACACGTTTTAATGTTGAACGGTGTAATTCGAACCTGCAGTGGGATCAGCATAAGAGAATCCAAAGGAACTCTGAACAGAACTGCTCACATCCGAGGATGTATAATATCATTGTAGAAATCTAGTCCTGAGCACGCTTAGTTATATGAAATGTGTTTTTAGGTAATAGGATCTATTGGCGTAAGACAGGCTCGTGGATTTTATAAAAAAATTATCTGGATTCTTTTTATTCTGTTGCTGAATTTGAAAGACCTCCTCACAAAATGAATTTTCTAGAGCGTAATATTACACAGGAGAACAGATATAATTAAATTTGTGTATGAATCTCTGTTCCTCCATAAAGAGGTTATTTGCTGTAGTTACTTTTGGTGTGTGTGGTGGTGTTTTTTTCTAAATATATATTGTAGTATACATGGTAAAACTGTTTTGCCTGAAATTTCGTTCCAACTTTCCAAAATTACTTTTCAGCCTTTCTTTTAATACTGTAATTTAATCTGCTTTAATCTCATAGCTTCTATTTATACATGCCTATTCAATCACAGATATTGAATGTCTGAGTAGAGATTGTTTGCTTTTTATGATTTCTTCTTGGCTTTAAAGACTTTTTATTTGCTGCCACGTTTAAGAATATAATGTTGTTGTTGTAAATAAAGGTATTTATAACAGTCTTCATTCATTTCTTATGTACATAACAGATAAGTACTCTGATAGTTTTGAATAGGTTTTGTTGAGGATTTTTTTTTCCAAAAAAACAAAGCATGTACAGAGGGCATATGTGCTACCAAACTGTTATTCATTACCAGAATAGGACAGCGAGCAAAGCTGTACTAACCCGTTAGTACAGAACCTACAAAACCTGCATTGTAAATGACTCGCGGTAGAGGTGTTCAGCAGCAGGAGTCAGTAATTTGATCAATCTGCATCATAAAACGTGTTTCATTTGACAAGTGTGTGTTTGTGGTAACATATAGTACGTTTGTAAATACATTTTGGCATAATTTACTAGGTCAATTAAGCATGAATCAGAAAATCTGTGAGACGGAGATGAAACCATTAGGATTTCAACAAATTATATCAGGTTTTCAAGCCACTTATAGATGCAGGGGCTGCCTGCTGTCACAATAAAGGCCCAGGACAAAGTTCTCAATCTGTAAAGACCTTAGCTTACTTCTGAATAAAATAATGATTCTTCTGCATTATATTTAGTGTAAAATTGTGAATGTTATAGAAGGAAAAATGTGTTTGTGTTTATTTCAGAAGGAATTCCTGAGTTACTCTTGAAAGTTTAAATGTTGCTAAGTAGCTATTATGTGTATGCATTCAGTGCTTGCCAAAAAAGCCAAGGAATTAATAACTGTAATGAGATTCTGGTATTCTGTAATACCTCAGAGTTACGGAGTAACAAGCAGATACCACAGGCACCTTGTGAAATACTTACCAGAGGTTTTTTGACTTGGTTTTTCAGTAGCAAGGTCACCATAACTTTAGTGCCTGAGCATAAATGCAATGGTGAATGCATAACATAAATATTCAGTGATTGGGCAAGATGTTGGAGAAAGTCTCTGCTTCCAGAAGAATTGTGTGACGTATAGGCAACGTGGACTTTGCATGTTTTAGCAGTTTCAAGATGTACTCTGATAATGGGCTTCTGAAAAAAAAATTTAATGTCTGATTTTCATTTAGCGAAGTTTGTTCCCCCCCTCAAATTGTAAGATATGCTTTGAAAGGAGAAGTTTCACTGTAAAGACCACTTAACCTTTAACTCTTATTTTAATGTGTTGTTCAGGGTAACTTTGAACACAATTGAATAGACTAAATGTGTTAGTATGTATTGGTATAAATACCTACTTTGCATTTTTAAGAACACTATCGCTCACCTAGCATTTTTTTGAATCTTTATGTGTTTGAAATAATGTGTATTTTTTCTGGTATCCCAGGCAACCTTTTAAAACAGTATGTTTTGAAACGTACTGTTTGAGATAACTTTAAACTCTACATTATTTATTGCCAGATAATTTGGTTTCTAAATGTCTCACCTCGACTACTTAGTGACAATATTAAATATGTATTTTGTTGGGGAGGGATATTTCTTCTACGAACTGTGTGAAGCTTTTAATCCCTCTAATATCTTCGTGACTTCCTGAGGTATAGGTTCTGTATGATGGCACACGTGCTGTGGATATCTTTAAATTATAAAAGTAGTTAATTTCTTATCTCTAAAGTGGAGGTGTAAATTTGCTTGGAACAAGAAGGTAGCAACATTTCCTTTTCCCACAGCTGATTTTTATGTACGTTAAAGTGGCAGTGTTGAAGCTATGTTTGTCCAGATGGTGCTAAATGCTCCTATCATCTGTATTCCTAGGTCTTGAAGACAATCCCCAAATAGTACTTCAGGTCATGCGGAGATACATTCACCACTTTTTTGGATGCAAGGCTTGTGCTCAGCATTTTGAAGAAATGGCTAAAGAGTCCATCGATTCCGTGAAAACCTTCGACAAGGCTGTTCTCTGGCTCTGGGAGAAACACAACATAGTGAATAACAGGCTCGCAGGTACGGGAGACCTTGCTTAGGAAAACCCACCAAAGGCAGCTGTGCTGAAAGACAAAGCTATGGCATTTTGTACAACACGTACATGTATTTGAACAAAGATATGCAAATTAAGCTCTGTAACAGGAGTTTAGAAACAACAGTAACAGTTGTTCCAGCTTGACAATCCTTTATTAGATACTGACTTCAAAAGACTAACTCCACATTTACGTTGGTGTACAAGAAAGGGTACTTGTGTATAGAGGAAAACCTAGAGCGTCCCAGTCAACTATAACTCTAAAGACCGCCACCCTAACCTTTGCTTGAGTGAGAAATACACACTTGAGGTAGGCTGTCCTCTAGTAACATAGTTATCTCTTATGATATATAATGAAAAAACATCATCATTCTCAAAGATACTGTTTCTTCTGGGATTTCACCTGTTGCTTGATGAGAGGATCTTTCTGGAGTACAAATCAAAGTCTTTCTGAAAAGGAGCAATCCAGTTCAGCTACTTATCAGTGGATAAAAAAATAATTAAATTTCTTTCCGTAACAGTTTAAATAGATGTTAAAACTTGTCTTCATTTTGTTCTGGAGAGATGCTGTATAGAAAATGATGATAATTGAACAGGAGACTTTCTCAGGATAAAAGAGCCTAAACTATTAGCAGATCAGCAACTGAATAAAATAAAATTACTGTATGAAGAAAATCTGTTCCCCCACTAGATTGCTATGTTTTCAGTTAGACTAAAAGTACCATTAAAATACTGGTTGTATTTAATCCATTCTGTTATGGGGATATCAAGTAACTAAAGCACTAAAGAAAATTGGTTTCTCTTTGCACTTAATCTCTGTCTGCTGTTATGGATCCGTGTAATGTAGCATTAGTTACAATTTAAATATGCTATATTGTGTTTATATTATTGTTATGATGAATTCCCAAGACTTATGAAGTATTAAATACTGTTGTAAGCATAAACAGTTTGCCTCCTTTCTCCAAGGAGAAAAAAAGGAAATGATGAGGTATTAAATAAAAATATCGCCTAATGTTTGTTACTATTGCCAGGTTGAACACAGGAAAAAAAGTCGTCTTGTTAACTTGAAGTTGCTAAGTAGCGGAGCAATATACTTATTTAGAACATCAAGTTATTGGAAAACTCGCATGGATATTGATTTAGACGATGCAACAGCCAGCTAAAATACCCTTTTAGTAAGAAGTATAAACATTCTGGAATAAATAATAATATTAAAATATGCTTTTTAAGTTTACTACAATTTTTCTTTGGGACAGTGACTCATTTTAATTCCTAAAAGCTGCATCTGTTATTTCTAGTGATATATATAGCTTTCAATGCGAAATAATGTTTGACTGGTCAATGAAAACACCTTGGCACAGCCTTCAAGTGCGGGCCACAGATTGTTGTCTATGGCTCTGCCCTATTTAGTTCTTTCCTGTTGCTTTAGAATGTACAGAATTTAGGGCATTCTTCTTTTTGGCAGGAAAACATGAAGTACAGCAAGTTTTCTGTTTGTAATCTTACCATAAGATGTTTTGTTTCTACTTTCTCTAGTGAAACAAATTGCTTACCGAGTGATCTTTATTTAAAGATATCTGAAACGCAAACTTGCTCTCTTACTTGTAAATATTGACGAGACAAATATTTCTAAGCATTCTTTGAATCCCTAAACAATATTTTGCTAAAAATGATGGGGAAGTTTCCTGCCTTTAAAAAGGATAAAAACAGTAATAAAACAAGACTCTCTATTTCTGAAATATTTTAAGCATATTAGTGTACTACTAACAGTTAGATAAATAAATTAGCTTTTTTACCAGGTAGAGATTTTTGTTCTAAAAATTATCTCCCTCCACATTTTAAAATGTTATTTTTTAGAGCAAAGTGCAACACGAGCTACAGTGTTCGGCTCTTTGCTATCAAGACAGAAAGGTGGCCAGAGCTATCAGCAACTGAAATGCTAAAATTGGATCTAGTTCAAGACAGCGTTATATGTTTGAATGCTAAAAAGCAAGCTGAAAAATAGATAATCATTTTTAAAGTACTGAAAACAGTTTGCTATAGTAATAATGCAAGCTATGAAAAAGACAAGCTTAGGATGGAATGGTTCACGATACAGAAACATGAAAATATCTGCAAGTCTTTGGCCTTGAAACTGCTTGCTGCAAACCAAGCTTCAGGATTAGGGAGTACTGAGTGCAAAAGAGCAGTTTGTTTTGAACCACAATTCAAGTTAACCCCTGAAAGGCCCAGATGGTGGTGGTTTTATGCCTTCTAAAAACATAGCAATTGTAGTATCTTGTATTAGAATTTGAACGCTACAGCTTTTACTGAGAGAAAACAAAAATAATTGTTTTAGTGTTTGTATTTTGAAAGAGGAAGCAATACTTCAGAACATAATTGGTGCCTCCATAAGGAAACTTATGAATTTCCAAATTTGTTCATGATTGTCTTCAGTTTAATGCAAACATTATTGTGCTGTGGGCTTTTTTTTGCCAACCTCACTATTTATAAGTGGAAAATACTCTGTGGTTTCCAGTCAAGTGTCTGATGGTTCAGCTTTCCTAGTTCATTCACTTCTGATTTTTTTTTTTTTTTCTCCTCCCAATTAGGTGATTTGACTGAAGATCCAAAATTTCCCAAAGTTCAGTGGCCAACGCCAGACATTTGTCCTGCATGTCATGAAGAAATTAAAGGGTTACACAGCTGGAATGAAGCCCAAGTTCTGCAGTTCATGAAGTATCACTATAACAGTGAAAATATTCTATATAAATACACTGAAAGCCAGACTGACCCCAGTGAAACTGAACAGGGAGATACAAGGGAGGGGAAAGACAAAAGCCTGCTGAAGAAACCAAGTGGAAACAGAGAAAATAAGATCCAGGATAAAGAAAACGTACTAGATTCAGAATCTAAGGTGTTAGATAAGCTAATAGCAAATCACGGACCTGTCAAAGATAGCGGTAAAAGCGCGGTTGGATCAGCTAACCTTAAAGAGACGAAGCAGGCCGTGTCTTTCTTAGGGATTGGATTTTCAAACATAGACATGAGTCTGTGTGTCATACTGTATGTAGCATCATCCTTATTTTTAATGATAATGTACTTTTTTTTCCGAATGAGATCTAAACGGTGGAAAGTGAAGTATTATCGTTCATCTGTATAGAAGTTTAAATTGGAAACAAAGTTTTCATTGTATGTGGCTGTTCAGTATCAGATACAGCTTTAATATTTATGATCAGGGATTTTATATACAGTGTTCCTTGTTTAAAACCCCTTTCTTCCCAAGTCATTTCAGAAGTGTTCTAGCTTAATATACAGAGCTCGCTGTAAGAACCCGAACCTTTAAGTGAGGCACATAGTGCTATCATAAAATGTCCACTGAAGTAAGCATTGCATTTTTTAGTTAAGATTTTTCCGTGACTTACCATCTACATCCTTTACTCATTTTCCGAGTAAACATTACATTATGCAATCAACTGTGCCTGGTTTTAGAAGGAAATTGGATATTGTTTTGTGTACTTCAAGTCAGGGTTTTTTTAATTTATCCAGAGCTGATTTTACCTACCCGAGTACCGAACAGTTATGCTGTTACCTTGGCTGCTTCATTTGGAGAAGCAAGAATTCTGATTTTTTTTTTTTTTCCAGGAAACAAGAGTTCTATTCTGATTAAATCAATTCTAAACCTATGTGACTTTCTCAAATATTATTTACACTGCATATTTAAAGTAGAAAGCATTACATGCTCAAATAAGTCTTCCATTCTCCCGTGCGTTCCAGCCAAGGATGTGTATGTCTCTGCTAGGATGAGAGTTTGGGGGCAGTTTGTATCTCAATAAGCAGCCTGATTCTGACTGCTAATGCTGTCATCTGTTTTAATGGAGTTTAGAAGTAAGCAAGGACAAACTCGGCCTCGGTGCTTTACTTGCTTCTCTGTTGGATGTGTTGATGGAGCATTAGATAATTCGCCTCGCTCATTTATGAACCAGAGAAGTAGCTGTGCAATTATTGCATTATCTGGATGGACGCTGATTCTGACGAACTCCAGTAAAGGGAAACTGTTTTTAGTGAAGGACAGAGGTTTGCATCAGCATGCCAGAACAAATCCACAGATGTGGAAATCCTAAGTTTCTCATGATGTTGGATCACTCCATTACAATATAATAATTTTTCTTCTTGTGAGGTGGGGTAAACACTTCCCTTGGTATTTCCAGTTCTGAGCTCCCAGAGAGCACTATCACCTGCTAGCTGTAAAATTGTCCAGTACTTAGACGAACAGCCCATTTCTCTTGCCCTCCTGCTGGAGTGCTCCTCTGCTTGGGTCAAGGAGGGTTTAACTAACGGTTAAGGCCGAGAGCTGCTCCGTTCTGGGATGTGGCAGCGATTGGGAATGTGGCAGTTGCCTTTACAGATCTGTCTGGGGTCCTGGCGGGCAGCAATGAGAAGAAACCATGACGAGAGTTATAAATTTACCATTTGAATAGGAGTTCCTTTCTGATCCTAGCTGTGGGGGATAATTCACGTCCCGGATAGTGAAGTTTATAATCCTATCCAATGTAATTGAGCATGTTCTAGTTATCCATTACCTAATCTTTAGTTAATCCTAATAGGTTTTGGCCTCAATGTTTTCTTGTGGCAGTGAGTTCTACAGATTAATTATGTTATATAAAAAGGCTTTTCCTTTCAATTCTACATTTACAACTTTTAATTTAATTGAATGTTCGCTAGCTCTTCTGTTACGCGAGAAGGAATAAATAGTCTCTGGCCAATTCATTGTATTTATACTGTTAGCGTGTCCTCCTCTTATTTCCTTCATAAGCCCTAGCATAAAAAGTTTAAAGCCTAGCAAAAAGAATGGTCTGGAAGCACGAAAACTCAAGAGGGATAATTTTTCATAATCAAATCTTGTTCGTTCACAAAACTGAACAGTTCTGACAAGTATCTGCAGCTTGCAATTGGAATGACAAAGTTGAGCTTCAAGATTTACTGTCTCTTGTTCCTTAAGTTTATCAAAATAACATACACGCAAAGTAATAACCACCTGTGGTTATTGTGAACGTATGTCAGAGGAAAAATCTCCATTCACAGGACGCTGTTAGTCTGATGTACATAGAGGCACATGATCGGTGGTTTTCTTAAGCCACCTTTGCTGTTCGTTGCGTGCACCCGATGGCTCTTGCTCCACGGTGAGAAGCTGAACTCAGCGCTCTCTCCGGGAAGCTGGAGGCCAGCTCCTGCCGCACGCCGCCTCCGGGGAGCCGAGAGCTGCTGGGAGCACCTGCGGGCAAGTGCTGCTGCCTGTGGTCTGACACGAAAACCTCTCTTTAATTTTGGCATTAAGTCTGCGGCATTGAGTCCGTCCGTGCTTTTTAAGGACCTTCACTGTCCCAGAGTTCTGACACAAGGAGCCGTCGTGGATCTCTTCTCTTTAGGAATTTATAAGAGTCCCTATCATTGTCTTTATAGCACCTGGGCTTGAATGTTAAAACAACTTTTGTAAGTAACTAGAAAGATAGCGACCCAGCGGTGGAAGGTGGCCCAGGCTGGCTCGTCGTTGCCGCTGGCTTTGTGCCGGAAGCCCCTGAGGTCGCAGGAGGAGGTCGGTTACGAGGAAAGCCCACAGTTTCCAAGTTTATCTTTGAAAATCAGGCGCCTTTTAAATGATGTAATCTGGGGAGATGTCGATAGCAGCCAAGAAGCAAGGACATTTAGCTTCTCAAAAAAACCCACCCCACACCCAAAAGCCAAAACCACAGCACAGCAAGTATTGGATCTGAAAAATCTGGCCCGTTTCTGTGGGACTCCTGAGTCGCCTGCAGTCGGTGGTGTCGCACATTTTGAAGGTGAAAATCAGTCATCGCTGCTGCTGTTTAGAACTCTACCAAATCTGCAGACCTGAGTTTGTTAGCTTTGCCTCATTCTGCTTATTTTCATCTGTGTATGAAAACAAAAGACTTTGAAGGTTTGTAGGGCTGATTTTGCCATTAAAACAGCAGCAAACGTGGTTTTGGAATAAGTTTGGTTTTTGGGGTGGTTTTTTTTGCTACACACCGTTAACGTTCATGGTGCTGTGACCCTGCTGGAAACGCGACAAAATGAACCGATACTCAAACTTCCAATGGGTTTGGGTTGGTTTTGGGTTTTTTTGTTTCTTAAGAATGCAAAAGCACGAAATTAGGATGTTGATTATCCGTGTTGGTGCCAGCTGACTGGCTAAGGCTTTCACTTTAATTGCTAGTAGTCACCTCGTCTGGAAAAGCTGTCTTGACTTTGAATGCAGTTGTGTAAATCTTGGTTTACTTTTCTCATTTTCTATCTTCATAATGACAAATTATATCCTTTTATGTACTCTGACTGTAAAGATGTATTATGGCTGCTGGGGAGTGCGTGATGCTGCTTTGCCGTGGTGCATTATCAGTGGGTGAGTTACAAAAAAGTGTTTCCTTTTTAAAAAAATGCCTCAAACCCCCGTCTCCTCCGTCCTGGAGGTTTTCGTTGCGTGTTGTGTTGTACCACAATGCCACCTTCCTTTGCGGATGGTACCACACCGGTGGCAGTCACTTCCGAGAAGGATTTCTTGGCCCTTTGTAATTCACGGAGCCTTCTTTGCTCTTCGGATGTGTTTAAAGAGGAAATATTAAATCTGCATAGAAAATAAAAGGAGCACTGTGGGACGTGCCTGGAGAAAAGCTGCACGTGCTAAAGAAACCTAATGAAGTTATTCCTGAGAGCTCTTCATTTTTAATTTCCAGCAGCGTGTCCATCCTGCTGTTCCTGCTCCGAACTGGGTGGGAGCAGCCACCCTGACAAAACCTCCAAGGTGTTGTATATAAGGTGTTGAAAATAGTGAATATAGCAGTTCGGTAATTTAAATATTTTATTTATTTTAATTCAATAACTTGACATTTTCAAGTCTATTCTGTTTGGTTTGGTTTTTTTACTCAGTCTCATACCTCTCTGGGAAGGAGAAGTGACCATTTTGTACTAAATTGTAAACTAACGTGCTTGTTTAAAATAAATTGCAAACATTTGGGCAAAAAGTGGTGCGTTTTGGCTTTTTACTTGTATTTTCAAGTTCTTTTCAGCTAAACTGTATTGCAGGGATAGCTTGTATGCACGCCCATTTCAAACCATATTGGTCAGTTTATGTAGGTACTTAATTTTGAAAAGCACCAGGGACGAATAAACGTTTACTCCATTTCTTTCACTGTCATCCCCTAAATAAATAAAATGTCAGTGAATGTTTGCAGGAGCGATGGAAAAATTGTCGCTTTCTGACCAATTATTTGCACGTTCTCTCTCTATAGACACACATCCACACATCTTCCTTTCCTTAAACCCGAGCATCTCTTCTTTGGCCGGGATGGTGCTAACCTCCACCGGTGCTTCTGCATCTGTCTGCGGCTTCTGCTGGCGCCCGCAGCCCCACTGAGGAGGTGGGATGGCTGACTCGTTCAAAATATTTTAACATTAATATTTTATTTTTAAAATATTTTAATATTTTAAGATCAGTAAGCTCTCTAAACCTGTAGAGAAGGTTCTCTGAAGTTTGGCACTGCAAGCCACTTCTCCAGGGAACCGTGCGTTTCCTTGCTGGCCTGTGACCTTGCCTGGAAAACTGGCGTTCCCCGGGGAACCCGATGGACGGGCTCATCGCCGGAATGTCTTGAGGGCAAACGCAGACGTTGTCCCTGCTGGGGCAGGGTTAGAGGTGCCCTGTCCTTGCCACCCGAAGTTAATACGTCTGCTGCCTCGTTTTAAAGAGGTGCTAAGGGTGGTGCTGCAACTCGCTGCGCGATCCGATGCTCTGCTGTCCGGGGGGGACAAGGGCTGTCACGAACTGGCACATGTTCCTTGGGAGGAAGGACGCTGCAGCCTTTGGGTCTGTCCACAGAAGGCAACGGGCAGGGGAATATGCCTAAGCCCAGACTTCTCAGGGGCTGCTAAGAGATCTTCTGAAGCCACGGAAGGGAAAGAAAAACAGGAATAGATGTTTGGGGTTGTTTTTTTTCATGTCAGCAGAACCGCAGTGAGGAAGACTATGGGCAGGGTCTGATGGCTGCTACAACCTGAGCAGGAGGGCACAGGAGTGTGCGCAGTGCGGAGATCATCCCAAGGGGCTTTTGTGGAAACCTGCCGAGGTGGTGCCGCGGCGTGAGCGACTCGTGGGGCTGAAACCACGCGGCTGCGCAGGGCTGGCCCGTGCCATCGGCGGCCCCGAGCGGGACATCGGCCGCTGCCCTCCATCCTGCACAGCCATGGCCGCCGCGACCCTGCCCTGCACCCCGTGCGCTGGGGAACAGCCGCCACCACGCACAAACACACACGCGCTTCCTTAAACTGCTTCCTTAGAGGATCAGACTAAAAATCCACTTATAAAACCGAGCTTAAAAGAGTCCGTGTGGGTCATCGCCTGCCGCCCCCGAAGCTGTTCATGGCCCTGGGGAGGGCCGAGGTGCCCCAGCGCAGCCGGTGCCGGCGGTGCCCAGCAGGACTCGCCGCGGTACCTGGGATGACTCCAGCGCGGTACTGGTGATGCTCCACCAGTGCTCTGCCTGTACCCCAGCTGTGCTCCAGCCTGGCATTTCTAGGTACTTTAGTTGGGAACCCCAGATCCTTGTCCCCAAAATGTCTCCCCGTGTTATTTTCCAACCCTACGGGTCTGAGCTGTCCCCCAGGCTGGGACCTGTCCCCCGGCCAGATGAACCATCCGAGGGGACAGTCCCGACCCAGGCACCGGCCCCCGCAGCCCAGCACCGTGCAGGACCCGGTGCAGGCAGGAGGGCAGTCCGGCACCCAGGGGTGATCAGTAGCGGTGCTGGGCCCATGCGGGTGCCATGAGGTTGGGGCTCTCGGGGGCTCGGCGCTGGGCCCGCTCCCCAGCTGCCCCATGGGCAGGCGAAAGTCCCCGTGCTGCCGTCCACAGGAACATATGTGTGTTTGGAGGCTCCCGCCCCTAAGCTGCTTTTATTAATTTGTAATCCCCTGCGAGCAGGAGGTAAAGGGATTCAGGGGATTAACGGGCTCACAGTAACAACCACAATTATCAGCTGCCTGGAGCAAGCGCTGCACACACGCACGGGGCTGTGCGCCCCGCACAAGCACACAGACACGTGCTCACACCCGCTGCACACACAGCACCGCCTCTGCACACGCAGACACATGAGCACTCGCGGAACAGAGCACAAGCGCACAGGTACAGGCATGGCCTCACCCACCTGCGTGCACACACGCGCACACGGAAACCTGCACGCCCCTACGTGCACACCCGCACGGATGCACAGGCTGGCGCATGCACCCCTTGCCTACACAGAAACCTGCACACCCCTACCTGCACACCCACGTGGATGCACAGGCTGGCGCATGCACCCCTTGCACACACAAGTGCACACATGCAAACCGCATATAAACAAGCACCCACCCATGCACGCGCACACAGCTGCACACACAGCCCCGGCACCCCGCTGGGCACACGTGTGTTCCTGCCCACGCACATGCATGCACCCGCATGCACTCGCATGCACCCGCAAACACACACACACAAATACACAAATACACACACACGCACGTCCATGTCCGCCCCGTCCTCAGTTACTGCAATTAACCTCCTCCAGCCGCAGGGCGCTGATTGCCGCGGCCAATGCCCCCCCCCCGGTCACTTTCCCCTCTCATTTACCAAACGGGGGGGG